GGGTTGTGGTGAACGCACCCGACTATAACGCCAACAATGGGTTCACATTAACCACTTATAAGCCCCCGAATCCGACTAAAGGGTCCGGTTTGCACCGGTATGTCATACTGGCCTACAATCAGACCGAGCGCTTAACCCTTGATCCGGACGACACTAATCTGGAGAAATTTGATGTCAACCAGTTTGCCACACAGAATAAGCTAGGTAAACCGTTTGCCGGGAACTTTTTCCAGGTTCGGGCTTAATTACTGCTACCACCCACACCCCCAATGTATTACTATCTAATTATTTAAGTTAAATAAATATTGTGATTAAATATTGACTGTTTCATAATTGATTGTTTAAATATAGAAATAAAATCATGCTGGTAATATTAAATTAACTTTATTTAATACAGTATTAGACTTATCCCTAATCACTTCCTTCCCACTAGTTTTACTTTATAAAGTTAATATAAAATGCAATTTTAGCACATATTTTGGGTGCGGATCTATTGACCTAAAAATGATAAATTGACCTAAAATTCGAAATAATGAACTTCTCGTAGAGTCAATGGTTTTCAATAGTGATTTCGATGTTTTTAAGTGGAGTTGCTGTTTCTAATATGGAAATGGGGGTTTTCCGTGGGAATGCCAACTCACTAAGGGGATTTGGTGTTTCTACGAGGGAAATGGGTTTTGACAACAATTTGTAGCTGATTATAGCGGATTAAGGATTATGACTAACTGTAACTATAACAATAACTAACTGTAAAAGAAAATACATTTGAAATTCATAACACAATAATTTGCGACATTCATAAATACTAATTAGATCTCTAAGGTATTATACTGTACATCAATTTGAGCACTAATTTTGTAAATTAATTTAATAAAAGTAAAAATAATTTAATTAAACTAAATAAAAAGATTGTGGACTTTACTAATGATTTATTTGGATTTTAACATTATAAATATACATTATATTCACTTTAGTCTAAATTCAGTAATTTTTGTTTGGAAGGAAAAAATTCAATGTTGGACAGCCTACTCCATACAGATAACAAAATGGTTGGGCGCATGTCTGCGGCCTAACAGTCTGGGGGTCTTCGACGGCGAACTCAGGGTCGCACGTGAAGCCCATAAGCAGCGCATATCGAGTCCCAGAGGTGACCCTCTCGACGAAGTGCCAGTTCTCTGAGCCCGAGGTGTACGCCACGACTCTTCCCAACTTAGGCTCAATAGTTGTGTTCGACATCTCGTCCGCGAATACAAAGTGTCCGCCGGAGAAGTCCGCGCCATATGTCGACAAATAGAGGAGAGAAGAGATGCGATCGAACTTAACGTTGTGTTTGTCGACGTGTCGGCGCCAATACCTGTCGAATTGGGTTCGGGGTCTCTTTGGAGAGTGAGTCTCGCGAAGTATGTCGACCGCGATATGTAGAGCTGTGCCGAAGGGATGCCGAACTGAATTGCAATCGTTTTGCGGATTCTGTTCGTCACAGTTCTGTAGACTTCTAAGTCTTTTTCGGTGAACAGCTCTTTCAGGCCCTCTTCCGTTCGTTGCGTCCTTTCAATGAGTTTATAGATATTTACGACATTAGTTGCCATCGAAAGAGTGCCCGAATGTAAGTAGAGGACAGAGTTGCCGGTTCGATCAGTTCACTTCTTCGCTGTATTTGTCGACATATGGCGCGGACTTCTCCGGCGGACGCCTTATATTGACGGACGAGAAGTCCAACCAAACAATTGAGCCTAAGTTCGGAAGAGTCGTGTCGTTTACGGCGGGCGCAGAGAACGAGCACTTGTTTGAAAGGGTCACCTCTGGGCCCCGGTATGCTTTGGTTATGTCCTTCACCTGTGACCCTGAGTTCGCCGCCAAAGACCCATATATTGTTAGACCGCAGACATAGGCGCTCAACCCTTTTATTTGCTGTATGAATAGGATGTGTCCACAACTTGAATTTACTTCCTATTTAAACTAAAGTTATTATAATACTGTATGTTATTAAGTTAATAAAATCCAAATAAATCAGTAAAATCCAAATTTATTTGTTTTATTTAATTGAAATATCTTTCCTTTTATTAAATTAATTTATAAAATTAGTGCTCAAATTGATAATTATATCCTAAAGGCCTACCATTTTGCATAGACAGTATGTTAGGTTAGGTTTGCATAGACAGACAGTATGTTAAATATTCTTTATGTTTTAATTTAATACTTCTCATAAAATTATGCCAAAACACATTCAACTATAAATGTCGAAAGTTCCTAGTTAGTTTTGAACTTCATTTTTTTGTTCAAAATAAAATTTCCATAAAATATCAAAAATAAACCTCGAAAACTTTTTTCTATAGTGGGATCCCTTTTAGTAAAAATGTACCAAAAAATAGCAGCGAAATGTACTTTCAAAAATATTTTAATATAAACAAAATGAAATGCATTTTTTCATACAATGGACGTTCAATACAGCGATGACTTCGAGATAAACTTTTTAGGCGACGACAAAAAAATTTGTATCTTTTGTTATATTAAATAAAAAAAATAAATACTAATTATTAGATCAAAAAATAATTCTCACAATTGATTTGAAAAGTTATTCTCAACGCTATGTCAATAAAATTTGTAAAAAACAATTCCCCGCAAGAAATATAATCATCGCTTGAATTGATATCAATGTTTATATCCATTCAAATAAATACTTAAAAAATAATTTTCACAAAAAAACCCATAATAGAGAGATCCGGGACTCCGGGGGGGGGGGGTGGGGGCTTATAAGTGGTTAATGTGAACCCATTGTTGGCGTTATAGTCGGGTGCGTTCACCACAACCCAGTGCTTCTCACTGCGATTGGTAGGCGCCTCGTGGGTGGGGGCGTCGATGTCCACCATAACCAGGGTGTATATCCAGCCGTACATCGAGGGTGAGATGGGCCACTCGAGTAGGGGCTGGTCCTTGGTTTGAGCCACTGTTAGCTCATTGCCTAATTGGGCGCTTGCTTTGCTCGGCCATGTCACCTTGGTCAGAGACAAATACGGGTATATTACATTTAATTATTAATAAATTTTATTATTAGTTTTATCATGCTCAAAAATATGTTTTATAAACTTCTATAAATACTTTTATGAAATTAATTTTATGAAACTAAATATATTTCGAGTAGTAAACTGTATTACTATTACAATTTCATAATTATGAAGCAATTAGTTTATTTAATCTAAAATCTAAAAGTGATAATGGTGATTTACCTTGAGAAAGTGTTGCGGGAGAGTATCCAGTAAATCGGGAACAATGTTTTCATTTTGAAACGCTACGAGTGAGCAGCCCATGAAAACACCAAGCAAGTTGGGAAACATTTTCAAATTTTTGTTAAATACCTAATACTGTTAGATAATTTACAAAATAACTTATAAATATAAATGCGAGCTCAGTTATTTATATTGTTATTTTGAACCTCTATTTTGATAATATCCTGGTGAATTACGCCATAAATCTTTACAGCTAGATGTTACGTTATAGTAATTTATCATTTTTAAATGTAATTAATAAAACGAGTCTGTTTATAATTTGATGATAAACTATATTCTAAACAATACTTGCACTAAACATGTAGCACATGTAATTAATTAAATAACAATGAAATTGCAATAAATAAACTAGGATATTTTATACTATTCTATTAAAACTTTAATTAAATAATACATTGCATAAACATTGAT